CAGTCAAAAATAAGAATTTCAGGATGGTTTTTAGGGGTTCCGACAAGGGAGAACCCCTTTTGCTTTTGACGGGGAAGCATCTTATTTTTTTGGTTTTTCGCTCTTTAATGCAAAACGACTCAGACCAAATTGTTCGTTATGATGACCAAATTAAAGTTCCGCAAAAAAGATTGGAATAAAATCGTCTAGATTTTGCGAAATTTGTTAAAACATAAAAGTTCAACAATATAACATCCTTAATCGGTTACTTTATCGAAAAACATTTCACAGAAAAAATGTGACTCGCGAAAAAATAAAAACTTTACTCTCATTAAAAAAACAAAAACTTGTGTACGTTAGGAACAAATTAGAAAAACATGAATAAATAATTGCCATGGATACGAATATTCTACCCGTCAACATTCAAACTGGCCAACAGGAATATCACCCGCGTTTTAAAACCATCTCTCCCGAGTTTTTAAAGTTTGTCAAACCAACCGTCGTACTGTTGTTCGGTTGTGAGTAAGAACTATTGTACTCAATTGAGGAAAACATGACAAGAGAACCTATAGCCTTTAAAAGCAAGCCAAACAATCCAGCCTCGACAACAATGAAGGGGCAGTTTTGATGCGCGACTACTCGTTTCTTCGGCCTCGCGATTTTCCAATGGGCGCAGACGCTGACTATTTTGTTGCCAACCGACGGAAATAAATTTTACTGCTTCCCGTCTGCTACCAACTTTTCACTTTCCAAACAGTATGAATAAACGACAGCCGTGAAATTGATGTTTCAATGCCGGAACACGGTGCAATGCGTCAGCATTGGAATATTTTTTTTTAATCACTCTGCTTGGTTTTCAGGTACCTACACGTTCCGTTGATCAGATTGTTCGAAAAGTGAACGCGAATTGTGTTTTTAAAATTGAATTGGGCCAACGGACTAGGCCGCCGTAATCCCTACCTGGAGAGGGTCAGGCCCGGGCCGGCGCCGGTCACGTTACGAGTCCATTACTTCTTGTCTGATGGTTTAAGCACAAATTTAAAAAGGTCTGGTTACTTACACTATACTGATGTACTACCTTAAAGGACAGTTGGCAAGGAAACCGATGAGACGACCCCCCATGCAAAAGCAGGTCCCCAACAGGTCCCCAGCTGGTCCTAAATGTAACCTGAGACATGCCCCATTCTGCTCTAAGTCCGTATCGGAATCTGACGCCCAGGAACGTTGCTGGAGGACGACCTCACTCTGGTCCCCTGTAGGTCTCCGAGTGACATGCTACCTATCCCCTACTGCCGCTGGGGGCGCCACTGTCGCGTCGCTCTGCGCATTTACACATTTATTTCCGCATCCGTTCACTGTTTTGGAAAAGTGAGTGCAGAATACGATTCTACGTGAAATTTTACATCGCCTAGAAGTAATCATAAGTTGATAATAGTTGATATTCCATATTTCCTTCGTTTTAAAATGTTGCGGAACGGCGTCATCTGCGCTCCCGCGCGAGGGACAGTCCAGACGGGGGAGTTGCCAGGGGTTGGTTCAGGCAGGGACAAAACCGAGGCTTTAGTTGGCAGGTCCACGAGCGAAGGCAGTTCCCGCAGCAACTGAAGCCACTCGGCGTGGCTGTCCGTAACAGTCGACTGAAGCTTTAGATGCCGCACCCGCGACAGGCAGTTGCTCCGGAAGAGCGTCTTCGTGGGGAAGTTGCTCACCACGACACGCACCTCGCGCGGCAGGCGTGGCTCGAGCAACAGGCGGCGCAACGCTGTCTAGAGACATCTCTCCGCCTGAGCTGTACCTGTGTCAGGGCGGGACCTCACTGTTACACGCAAAACTTATGAAAGTATGACCAATTTGCATTGTAAAATTATTTAGGAAAATAAATAGTCAGTACACTACTGAACAATTCATAAGTACGTTGTTCTTTAAGAAACAAAAAGTACGTATTATGTTTGCACTAATGAATTGTAAAACCACTGAAACACACGTAGGGGATATGCACTCGCGTAGTAGTCGGGTCACTCTGTCCGTAATAGCACGCGTAATAGCGTGCGTATAAGTAGCGTAACAGTCGAAATTCTTCTAATTTAACCTATTTTTGGGTTGTTTTGGGCTGTTTTCAGCGAAATCCCGATGACTTTGAGGCTTAATAGAGCGTAGTAGACGTAATAGTCGGGTCACAGGTTTTGACAGTCTCGTGAAATTAAGTAAAAACTCTGAAAGCCAATTTCTGTTACCGTTTTCGGTCTATGGTCTTGTTCATTCTCTTTCGTCAGACTCAGTCTAAAGTGTTTATTAGTGTTGCAATTTTTCATGACTCTATAGTGTTGTTCTCAACCATTAAATCCAAAACTTCTATCTTCTAGATCAATTTTTTAACTTGTTTTCGCTCTCCTGAAAAGTTAGAGATCATGGACTTTCGTCACTCTGGCAAAGTATCAGTGGGCCTTATTCTCAGTAACCTGAAGAGCTAACCATAGTTCTCACCGCCATTACTCGCCCGATAAAGCTCCGTTTGCTGTTCATTAATCAACGAGATAATCACTGCCGCAGTGCATTTTTCTTGTTCATGCGCCTCTTCCACGTGTCCTTCGGCAACGGACGGGCGACGGTTCTCTTTTGCCGCTAGACTTTTATTTTTGTTTTTGGTTTTGTCACAGCTCGAACAACATGGCGTCAACTTCAGACATCAAGTAAGTTGGACTTTCTTAACTGCAAGCATAGCGTAACAGGCTGTGCTAGTTTTCGCGGATTTCCGTTCCGATACCAAACTTATGCCAGACCACGAGCCCAAACCACTATTTCTTTCAAATTTCTGTTTCGCTGCTAGCATGCCAGCCGCGTTTCTGCACTTGGTTGTACCAAGTCAGTTAGACTGCTAATTTAGGCTTATAAAACGTTTAATGGGGACTTTTGTCAAAGACGTTTTAGGACCGGAAACGAAATCGGAAATCCGGTCGGCCAAATCGGATTTTCAGACCCGATCCTCTGTAGCGACTGAAAGTCCCACTTAACCAAAATACACTTAGATCATGTTTCTGGGCGAAAAATATTATCTGTGTACACAGAACAACAAAAAGTGAGGGACCCCGCAAATAGTCACAGTCGTCAAGTTGCCAGATACTGAAATAAGGGAAAATGTACGCCACACTAAACGGAAATAAAGAATTCTTTCTGTCAACTAATTTTAAGTTGATTTTCGGTTGGGATTAAGGTTTGGGTAATCTACCCAACGATTCGGTTCGCTGTCAGAGCGAATTGTTTGTTCTCACAACAAAAAATTTCGGCTGTCCGGAAATCAACTCAAATTTGGTTGGAAAAGGCGTTTCTCCCGTTCCAAATCGTCGTAAAGTAGATGATGGTGAACATTTCAGTCGTCATAAGTTAAAACATTGATTAAGAATGCAAAGTCTAGAAAACAACACTAAATTCGGGTAAAGCAAAAATATGTCTGCGCCACGTCCTGGCGTAACACCAATTGGCTATAAACGAAAGACATTTTTGAACATTCAAGTTCGAAAATGGATTAATGACGTCAAAAAACATGTTTACTTAACAAATAAATTCGAAAAAGAGTGGTTGGCAACAAAAAGTTGAATAGCCACGTTGTACACATGTGCCCCACGGAAAATTGTCACTAACTGCCCCGGGGGCTCAGTTCATATTTAAACGGATCTCCACAGACAACCGTGAATAAAAAAATCAACTCCCAAGCTGATAAAAGCCAAGAATACTACACTTAATGGTGGATTAACGGAATCCTGGGCGTGGAAAGTCACTAGAAGACTGTTAAAGACAATTTACTTTAGACGAAATTGGAGGTCAAAAATGGCCAAAATACGTTACGTGTTTAACAGATGACCCCTCACGAGGGGGCGGGGGTAAGCGTCACGTTAGTTTTTAAACAAGCAACATCATCACACGTTTAAACAAGGCTTAAAAGCAACGGACGCCTCAGCAGTGAAAAAGAGTTCACAAGTATAAGCAAGCATAAGAGTGCTTTCATGCTTGGTTTTTGGAAGCTTGTTCGGAAGTGAGCGTACTTTTGATGAACATACTTTTGTGTCTGGTGAAATGCTACGCCCTCTTTTCTATTCGCCTGGTATAGACTCTGGTTAGCGGAGTAAGCATCCCCGAGGTAGGAGTTTGTATGAGTGCATCATGTTATCACGTTCCGAAACTAAAATTTCCTCACCTGGCTCAGTATGAATGGATACTTTTGGAAACTGCCCTATTCCGGACGGATTAAATTTAGCGATTCAGCAGTCGAATATTTATTCAAAGACAAAATGGGCTTCATTTTCGAGCTGAGCGCTGGCGTTAACCTTGGTCTAGACTCCTCAATCCATTGGTTTTGACAATTTTTTCTAACCCCCCCCCCCTATGTGTTGCTTAATGTGATTTGTGAACTTCAAAGCTTTTTTAATATCTCCCATGGAATTACTGCGGTCTCCTAATGTTTGAAAGGTCGATTTCCATATTTTTGGATGTGCCGAATCCAAATATGATGCCAGTTTTCCCTAATTCACAAATGTAAACCGAATAAGCATTTGTGGTGTCTGGAATAAGGACACTTTGCGTCCTAATTCCGGACATGCTTTAGGGGCTTCTGAACACCGTACGGAATAACTGTAAAAACTTTGTTGGGGTGCTTCAGATGCGTCAGAGCATGAACTATGTAGAATCCCGTTTGGCTTTCAATCACACCGCAAAGTTCCTATACATGTACCGGATTGATGCAGGGGGTGGAAACGGGGTGGTTTGGCGGGCCTTGGCTGCGGCGATGCGTGCACGGCCGTTGTTTGTTGTTTTTTTTGTGGTTCCTGGCAAACCACTTTCTAGCCAAAGTAGACACCTCATTTACAAATCCTGTGCGCGCACTTCTAGAGTAATGTTGATTCTTCGGGAAAATAAGCTCGGATTAAAGATTCGACACCCACAGGACGAGTTATTGACATATTTGTAACATGTTGCAATAGGCTCTTCCGCGTTCGAGCGCGGCGATTCGGGCCGGAACACGCCGAAAAAAGTGTTAACAAGTTATAAAAATTCAGATATCTCCTTTTGTGAGTGTCGATTTGGCCCCAGGATCTTATTTCCTGATCCTTTATCCTTACTCTTGAAATGCGCGCAAAGGTTTTGACGATTGGACGTCTACTTTGGCTGAAAAGTGGTTTCCCAGCTAACGCCGGAAAACAGCGAAAACGCTGAAAACCGCCGTGCACGCATCGCCGCAGCCAAGGCCCGGCAAATCAGCCTCGTTTCCACCCCCTGATTGATGGTATATTCTTACACGTATAGGAATTTTCCTACAAATTTTTGACGCGTATGGCAAAAGTTCCAAACATTTAGATAAATTCCTGGGTGAGTTTTCTCATTCTGTCAATAATCTGTGGGTAGCTTGGGCACCCCTAGGAGATCATTTTTTACCAGTGAACTAGTAAGCGCAAACGTCTAGGTACGGAGATAATTGGCGTTTTCTAACTGACCTCTGCGCCGGCGAGGTAGGCACCCGCTGACACTGAGGGTGGCAGGACTCCGCGAGGGGGAGCCGCGGGACTCGCTAGGGTTCCTCGAGTCTCGCGGATGTACCACGAACCTCGTGATATCTTTGGGAGAGGTCGCCGCAAGTCTCACGGGGGTGCCGTGATGCCCCCCTTAACAGTGGGTCTCTCGGCTGTCCTTGCGTGGGTGGCAGAACTCTGCGAGGACATCCCCGGGGTCAGTGGCACTATCGCGAGTCCCGCGGCCCCCCCTCTTGGAGTACCCTGCCACAGTCAGTGGCAGCGGGTACCTACGTCGCCTGCGCAGCGGATAGTTACTAAACACCAATTATCTCGGTATCTAGACGTTTGCGCCCACTAGTTCATTGGTGAATAACAGAAAAAGTAGCGATACAAATCGGCAACTTTGGCCCGTCCCGTACATTTTAAAATTCGACAATTTCGGTTTTGTTTAACTAAAACGGGATTTGAACCTGGGTCGGGGTCAAACCATCTTCAATAGAGGACAGTTATATTTGACCCTACTGGGATTCAATCGTGGATCCGAGGTCAAAACGGATGTAATTTTCGTCATCAGCACCCTCGAAAACGTGTGAATCGATAACAAACTGGATTCAGAAAATTTTGTCTTATTTGGCCCAAATCGTATTCGAACCTTAGAATAGGGTCAATGGATGTCATTTCCGTCATCAGCACTCTCGAAAAACCCTACCGGGATTTAAACCTAGGTCCAAACTTCTCCGATTTGCTCGAAACCAGCACCGTTGGCTTTGTCTCGTCACCTCGATTCCGAAAATACCCATACGTGCCCTTATAACTGCACCCGTTGCTGAAATCCTCCTCCACCCCATGTCAACCATGATGCACGTGCAGCAGCGGCCCCGGGGCTCGGATCGGGTTTGCTGCCACCGGGCGGTTCTAAGGGTCACCCAAGGAGACTGCATACCAAATTTGGAGAAGATCGGACCACGGGAAGTCCTCGGACGCACGCACGCACGCACGCACGCACAGGATGCATCATACTATATGCCCGTGCCCGTCCTCTGGTATTTATTTTATAATAAATACGGGACGGGCCAAAGATTATCTCCGAGGGGTGCCCTAGCCACCCAGAAATTATTGGCAGAATGAGAAAACTCACCCTGTATTTCGGATATTCAGATTTCCAATACAAGTATAGAAATTTGCTAAGACCACTGTATGACAAAATTCCGTTTATTTTTTGCAGGGAACCATCATCAGCAATGCACTGCGTCACATGCGGAAAAAATTTTGAAGCTTCATGCCTTACCGAGGACCACATCATTTGTGGCCTCTCGGCCGGGCGCGCCAAGGAGGCGCGGCTTCTCCTCCAGGCGAACGACGATTGCGCAGCGGGGGTTGAGAAGCTGCACGCCACTTTATCAGATGCTCTTCGTGCCCTGGAGGAGAAGAGCCTCAAACTGGCCTGGTTGAAGGAAAGCCTCCTCGCATCCGTTGGGGCAGATACCCAGACTTGGGAGGAGGCCAGAGACACTCTGGGGTTGGGAGGTAAGGACGAAGCTTCGGCGTACTTTCTTACATGGCAAAAGAGTTTACAATGTGCTGTAACCTTGAGAGAACATTCAGGACTGAACACTGTCATTCAAAATGCGATAACCACAATCTATATTTTGCTAAAAAAAACTATCGTACTGTTTTGCAATATTCATACCAAAAAAAGTGCAATAAAAAAAATTATAGCAAAATTTTGCAATAAAAGTATTACTTGTTTACAATAGTGCCTACTAAGAAAATGCAGTAACGAATTATGGCAAAATAATTGGCAATAAAAGAGCACAAAAGGCTCTTGTAACGCATAAATTAGGGGGTGGTTATTGCAAAACTTTGCAATAACTGAATTGTTACACTCCAGGGTGCGATAAATCGTAGGAATTGCAAATTCCATTTTATAGCAAAAATTTGTAGTAAAAGTATCGCAAATTGAATGACAGTGAATGGTGGTGGACAAGTCGACCGCCGATTTTTGTGACCTTTTTTTTGTTTTTGTTTTTGACCAATGGTCATCCCCACCACCTTGGCTCGGGACGATCCTGACCAGATGAGGCCTGCCCTCGCTGGCCCCGGGGCTGCCCGGCCCGCTCCAGGTAGGGATTACGGCAGTCTAGTCCTCTGGCCTACTTCAATTTTGATACAACAATTTGCGTTCAATTTTAGAACAAACTGTCTAGCGGATTGTGTAGTTGACTTCAAGCTAAGCAGAGTGATATAAAAATTATCTCAAAATTCGAATTTATAGCTGACTTACGGCAATTTCCGTTTGTTCAAAAAAATCGTCGTAACTCGGTTAAAAATCTGAATCTAAAGATAATTTTTACATCAGTCTACTTGGTTTGAAGTTAGCTACACGTTTCGCTTAACCGTCTTATCGAAAATTGAACGCAAATTGCTTTTAAAATTTGAGGGAGGCCAGTGGATTAGGCCACCGTGATCACTGCCTGGGCACCGGGAGCCCGATGTTGTTGGTGCAGCCTGGCCCAGGCCTGATCGATTTTTAACATCAGCTCCTCCCGGTGAGGTTCACAAAAAACGGCGGTCGACTGAAGTAACCGTGCATGGGAGTGGGGTCTCAGCCAGCTCTTCAACTTCGAGATAAAAAATATTATAACTCGTGGTTTTAGGCTCAAAGCGAGGGGGTATGCACTCGTAAATTACCCTGTACAAGCTGTCCTGTAATACACGTCTAATACAGTGTGATACGCGCGTAACAAACGCGTTATACCGAGTAGTCTGTACACGAAAGCGTAGAGTGCATACCCTTTCGACTCAAGGTAAAGTTGTAATAAAATTTGTCCTAAGAACATGTGTATGTTTGGGATCGCTAGGGGAAGAACTGAGCACCCCATATTTTACATCAAATACCATATGCACAGGCTTAACCACTATCATCTTATGAACCGCTGATGCCACGGAACACTTGTGCATACGGTATTTGAAATGAAATATGGGGTGTTCAGTTCTTCCCCTGTCCAGTTCTTCCCCGCAGTGACCCTATGCGGGTTCTCAGAACGACGGTTTACATGCATGGAGACGAGCGAAATCTTACAAGTTTATAGGTTAAGTTATATTAAATTTTGGTGTTGGTCGTTGTGCCCGAGGGGGTTTTCACTCTTCATATCCACCTACGGAGTAATACGCGCGTACTTTCACGTCATAACGTTATAACGCACTCATGGCGCGTTAATACGCGTCAAAACGAGTTATTACGCGCTTATTACACGTTCATACACTGAAATCTGAGTTGCGATACTTTCAACACAAAAAGCTGCGATGAAAAATAAGTTTGCGATTCCCAGCTTTCATCGCATTCCATGGGTGATAACTTGGTATCGCAAAATAAATTGCGATGATACCAGTATCGCACAAAAAAAGGACAACATAGCTATGTAGCGCAAAGTTCTGCGATGAAATTAGGAATACAAAACATTGCGATGAAAATAGTGAGCAAATATACTGCGATGAAATTGGTGACAGAAAAGAATGCGTTGCCTGAGTCACAAATCTATTACCATCCAATCCTATACAGAAATACATGTTGAAATAAATAAATAAATCAAAACATGGAAGTTTTTTCTCTTACAGGAAATAGGAAGTCACAAACAATGTCAACAAAAGGAAATAATGTGTGTCCATTTGACTGTTATAGATAAAATTTGCTTGGCAGACCATCCCTTCCCAACACCAACTTGCATGTGCTGCTGGCTGCTTCTGTCATCCTGCTTCCAGCTTGGCTTCCTTGCTTGATTCCACAACGAGGCACTGTGTCAATGGCGCAGTGTTCTTGTAGCAGCTCCAGTAAGAAAGCTGCTTGGACCCAGCCATCTGATAAGCACTAGCGGTATGGATGGTAATGATATTCTGGAAATAAAAAAAAGAATGGTAAGTTTGAAATTTTTTTTAAAAGTAATACTCAATTTAAGCAAGACAAAACAATTTAATATAGTATTTTACCTAGAGTCTCAGTGTGAGAATAAGATTCAGCTTTAGTTAGTCAAGAGCCATTACTTCCATCAGCTAACAGCTAACCCATGGAAAGATCTTCTAATTGACTTTGTAGAGTCCAGGCACTAGCTGCATGGATGGTAATGATATTCTGAAAATAAAAGAAGAATGATAAGTTTGAATTTTTTTAAATGGTACACTCAAAATAAGCAAGAAAAAATAATTCAATATAGTATTTTACCTGGAGTCTCATGTGAAGAAAAGATTCAGCTTCAGTTAGCCAAGAGCCGTTATTTCCATCAGTTAATCCATAAAAAGATCTTTTAATTAAATTTGTAGAGTCATTGGAGCTGATGAAATGTAGACAAATCAGTATGAAAAAGAAAAAGAAACAAATCACTATGATTGGGTTATCAGCAGAAAAATCAAGCAAACAAATGGTCAACTTAAAATCAATCAGTATAAAATAATGAAGTCATCTAAAGTGTCCTTACCACAAACGAGGATAATTTTGAAGTCTTTTATACTGTCAAGTGTAGAGAGTACCAAGTGTTCCAAAACTTGTGTCTGCACTGTGCTTCTGGGGTACAGAAACTAATGAAGTTAAAGACAGTCTACAAAAATCTTTACAGTATCGTAAGTCTCCCTAGAAAAGAAACAATCAGTAATAATAATAAAATCATTTTTTAGGAAAATACACTAGTAAGACTATTAATTAGTTTCCTCTTTTTGTAACTCAAGACTTGATTAAGTTTTAACAGCGTGCATTAACGGATTACCTTTTACATAATGTTGAAATGATTCCTTTCCTTCATGACGGTAGTGCATGTTGCTGCTTGGTGTTGAATGTGAAGTTTGTTTGGCAGACCCTGAGGCATCCCTTCGCAACACCAATTTGCTCGTGCTGCTGGCTGCTTCTGCCATCCTGCTTCCAACTTCGCTTCCTTGCTTAATTCCACACTGAGGCCTGTGTCACTGGTGCAGAGTTCTTGTAGCAGCTCCACTTGGAAAGCTGCTTGGACCCAGCCTCTGGCAGCATAAAAGGTAATGAAATTCTGAAATAAAAAAAATGGTACATTTGAATTATTTGTTTATAAGTAACACTCAAACTGAGCGAGGCAAAATAATTTAACATAGCATTTTACCTGGAATCTCATTGGGAGGAAATGATTCAGCTTTTGTTTGTCAAGAGCCGTTATTTCTATCAGCAAATCCTCGGAAAGATCTTTTAACTAACCAAACAATATGACAATTGAATTTGTTGCGTCGTTTGAGCTGATGAGATGTAGACAAATCAGTATGGAAAAGAAAAAGAAACAAATCACAATGATTGGGTTATCGGCAGAAAAATCAAGCAAACAAATAGTCAACAAAGAATCAGCCAGTATAAAAAAATGAAGTCATCTTAAGTGTCCTTACCACAAACGAGGATAATTTTGAAGTCTTTTATATTGTCAAGTGTAGAGAGTGAGTACCAAGAGTTCCTTCAAGCCAAATCAATTTTAAATCTATCAACAGTCCAAAACTAATGAAGGAACTCTGCAAGACAGTCTAGAAAAATCTTTACAGCATCATAAGTCTCCCTAGAAAAGAAACAATCAGTAAGAATAATAAAATCATTTTTTAGGAAAATACACTAGTAAGACTATTCATTAGTTTCCTCTTTTTGTAACTCAAGATTTGATTAAGTTTTAACAGCGTGTTAATGGATTACCTTTTACATAATGTTGAAATGATTCCTTTCCTTCATGACGGTAGTGCATGTTGCTGCTTGGTGTTGAATGTGAAGTTTGTTTGGCAGACCCTGAGGCATCCCTTCGCAACACCAACTTGCTCGTGCTGCTGGCTGCTTCTGCAATCCTGCTTCCAACTTCGCTTCCTTGCTTAATTCCACACCAAGGCCTGTGCCAATGGTGCAGTACTCCTGTAGCTGCTTCAGTTACACAGCTCCTTGGATTCTGCTTTCTTATGACACTAATTGCATGGATGGTTATGCTTTGCTGCAAAAATAAAATAAAAAGATAAGAAAACCAAAGAATGTGAACATTTTTTAAATTATTAGCAAGACAAAATATTTAAACATGGTATTTTACCTTGAGTCTCAGTATGCGAGGAGAAGAATAAGCATTAGTTTGTCACAAGTTGATATTTTCATCAGCAAATCCATGGAAAGGTCATTGAATTTACAAAACTATACTATGATTGAATTTGTTACGTCACTGGAGCTGATAAGTTGAAGAAAATTTTAATTTACAAAACCATACTAATGATTGAATTATTAAGTCACTGGAGCTGATGAGTTGAAGAAAATTTAAATTTACAAAGCTTTACTATGATTGAATTTGTTAGGTCACTGGAGCTGATGAGTCAAAGAAATTTTATCATGAAAAAGAAAAAGAAACAAATCATTATTATTAGGTTGTTAAATAACAAGCAAACAATTAATGTTTCAAGTATACAGCACTTTGCATAGGACAATACAAATTGAGTACAATACCTTTTATGCTAGCAGTTTCCTGTGGCCCAACAGAAGGGCATACCATTTCCTTTGCCATTTCAGACTCACAATGGGATGCGGATAAAGCAGTTTCTCAGCATCAACAGTGATTAGAGCGGACACTTGAGACAGCTCAAAGGCATTCACATCAGCTGCTAGGCAAAGAGTAGTAACCTTTTGGCAAACAAAGGCAAAGTTCTTCTTATCCACCATGAAAATCTTCTTGATCAGGCCAAAGTCTGGGAGATCAGAATCAGACAACAATACTAAAGTTGATTCTCTGAAGAGAGTTCCATGAATTGTCAGTCTTGAAAGTTGTTCAATCTTTCCACTGTTTGGGAACAGTACTCTGACTCGATTAAGATTGCGGTCCATCAATGTAGACACATCCTTAGTCACAGTGTATTGATGACCTTCATAAAGGTAGTTAGCCCCCATCATTTGGCGGCATTGCTTTGCTTGATGTCTGTATGAAAGAGACTTTGGGGGATTGATGAAGTTGCCTGCTATCTTCATTAGTCTCTTAAACAATTTATGGTGTGCCTCAAAACGAAAGCATGCTACTTGCCTTATGCCACCTTGAAGTAATATTTGGTCAGCCAAATGATGGAGAAAATGAACTTTTGCCATACTTGGGTCAGGAACTATTTTGAGAAGTCTTTTATGAAAAACTTTGATCTTCCGTCTCAAAAGAGGGACATCAGAAACATGAAAGTCATAAGATAAGCATAAATTCATAACTTTGTTGAGACTTAATAGACAGTCAAGATAGTCTCTATTGCCAGGGAAACACACTTCACCATTGTCCATTTCCTTCTGCAATACAATAGGAAGGATCAGAGACAATACCCTCATTTGAGCAGCAGTCTGGCGTAGTTTTTTCGTGGAGCAAAGATGATCATCCAAAATCAAACCAGGCCTGTCTTTTTCAAAGGCTTTGGAGCAGTCTTGAATTCGTGCATTCACTTCCCCAAGGGTGAATGCACCTTCTTCTTTGATAACATGAATAAGCACAAGACGACATACAAACTCAACAACACCTTCATGAGCTATGTGCATCAAATCTGGAGTTAGGGCCTTTGTAACATCAAAATAGTCTATGTCCAACAATTCACTTCTACAATTCACACCATAAAGGACAGATGGGTTATAACCAAGAGCAGCTTTTTCTTTAGTGGTCATTTCAGCGTAATTTTCAACTTCATTGATGTGGTCTTGATGCAAATCTTTAGTTCTTCTCTCAAATGACTCAATGTTGGTTATTTGCAAATAATTCTCTCCATTAGAGGCCAAACACATTCCACATGGCTTTTCAGCTGATACACTCTCTTTAAAACCTCCTATAGCTGCGTTTGCTGGGTAGTCACCACAAGATGCCTGTAAAATTCCATGGAAATTTCTTTCTACACCGCAAATGTTCATTGAAACACCTTCAGGTGAAGACAACTTGTTCAACCCTTCAATAAAATTCTTCAAAATTTTACTATATCCATACAGCTTTAAAGTTGTTGTCTTCACCACAGCATAAAGTTGCACTACTTTGTCAGTAGACCTTAATTCTGGATATATATTTCCCAAGAGCCAATAAAAGAAGGTCATTGCGTGCTTTCCTGACCTGGCAGAGGCTGAGTCCACAACATCCACACCATCGTGGTAAAAGAGGATAGTGAGTGTATCACCATTCTTGTTTCTCAAAACAACAACATTTTCTAGATACATTGTGCCATCTAACACAGATTTTAGCATATCTGCTTCTGAGACCCTGGGATTATCAACACATTTTAAAACGTCCTTGCACTGCAATAGACGCTCAAGTTGATCCAAAAATGGAACATAATAGAAATAATGAACATCCTTTGACACTAGTTTTCCATTCTGAAGTACTTCTTCTTTCCGGAGGACTTCTTTCTCAGGTTTCACTAATCCTGCATGTTCTTGCAAATAATCTAGAAGGTCATCAGCACTTTCAACTCCTTCAAAAATGTTGAATTCTTTCACATCTTCCAACAATTCTAACAGGTCGTCACACTTCACAAATTCTTCAACACCCGCCTTTTCTTGAATCAGTTTCTGAAACAAAAACAAAAACAATACGCAACTGTCAGCTTCATTTCAAACATATACAACCAAACAACACTAATTACGTATTCACTACATTCTGACAACCTACCCATATCACATCAATAAATGTCTTCTGTATCTTTTTAATGCCAGTAGTTATAGCATCAATAATTGTCTGAGTAGCATTATGCTTTTCTTTAATTTCAACCAAAAAATCAGCAACTTCTTTTTGAAGACGCTCTTCGAGTACAACTGAAAGGA